AAGCAGTTTGCTTTTCCCCTTCGGGGATCCATGGGGACCAATGACTAATTCCATTAGTTTTCATTTTAAGTAGGGTGATTGGCAGCCCATGTACTCAGCCTCTGGGGCCCTGTCTGGTTTGACAACTTCCTGTTGTGGGTAATGCACAGATGATGTATCCATAGCTGTCTTGTGAGTAATGAGCCGAGCGTGTGCTTAGGTATTTTAAAGCACAGGAGAGGATTGTGTTTCAGCAGCGGATGCGACTCCAAATGATTGCGTTTTATTATTACAACCCCTTAAAAATTCCCAGAATTGACACTTCTTAGGGCATTTTCCTTCTCAGAGTGTTCCTGGAATTCTCTATTTATTCTACTGTCGTGTTGCTCAGAGGAAAAGAACAGAAACAAGAAACAACCATGAGCTTTTACTCAGTTCCTGTAACGGTTGCTTCCGCCCTGATACCCAAGAAGGAAAAAGTACAAAGACTGATCCGGCTTGGGTCTGCGTGCCTTATTTCCGCTTGGGAAATCCTTCTTTTCCCACTCTCTCATCCCGCAGGCTCCACTCCTTGACTGTATCTGTTATAAGCAAGCTTGCTTTCCGAAACCGTGTTCCTCCTTCCTTGCTCCTTCTCGCACCTCCTTTGCTTCTCAGAGGTCTGGCTGCTGCCACCGCACTTGCCTCAGACCCAGACTCTCCCTGCCAGGGGCTCCAGGCCAGCGCAGCCTTCCAGCTGCCACTCTGCCACTCAGCCCTTCAGTGCCAAGACTCAGAACCTTCTGGCCCCAAACATTCTTTCACACCCATCCCCCACAAGGGACACACGCAGAGGCCCCTGCTGGGTTCAGTTAACTCTGAGTGGGAGGAAGGAGGACAGGAATAAAGCAAGGAGGACCAAGCCTCCGAAGGAGCCCTTTCCCATACTTCCTCCCGGACCGGCATTGATGAGAATTGAACAGGTCTGTTTGGGCGGTATAGCTCAGGGGCAGAGCGCTTGCCTGGCACGCTTGAGGTCCTAAATTCAGTCCCCAGTAATACACGGGGTAGAGGGAAGGGAGAGGGAGTATTGACGATGAAACGTTCTGCTTGGGCGGACAGTTCAATAGAGCCCTTGCAGTTCCATCTCAGGTAACTCACAAATCTAGATTCTACTTACAAGAGAAATGTGGGACTATACCCTCTCTTGTTGCCACTCTTCCCCCCTCCCTTTAGATCTCTTCCTGTCCCTCATAGTCTCCCTTTATATTTGTGTTTATAACTAGATTCTGCATATGAAAGAAAGTATGTAATATTTGTCCTTCTGAGTCTGGTCAAGCACCTTCTACAGCTTTTAAGAACAGTGCCTTAGGAAGAGTAGGAGTTCAGCTTTGTCTCCTATTGAGTTTGAGGCTAGCCTGGGCTACATGAGACCCTGTGTTAGAGAAAATGAGAGTGCAAACCTTATTCCTTAATGAGCATGGTAGAAGGAAGGAAGGGAGGAAGGGAGGAAGGGAGGAGAAAGAAAGAGAAAGGAAGAAAGAAGAAAAGATAGTGTCTCATGTAAGAAGCACTGAGTTACTGAATTCTGTCTGTCCTTAATACACATTTACAGTGTGGGGGGATAGAAGTTGGTAGAATCTTTGGGATCTAATCTCACAAACAGGGCAAAATCTAGATAAGATCATGGCTATAGTAGTGAGGCCTGTAAGACCAGCCCAGAAGCTGAGGCAAGAGGAACAAGCCTGGACTACATTGTACAATCTGGAGATGGAGTGTGTGTGTGTGTGTGTGTGTGTGTGTGTGTGTGTGTGTGTTATTAACAAAGTGGACTTCAGCCTTCCACATGTGCACCCTGGGATGCCCGTGCCCTACCCTCACCCCCACCCCCACCCCCACTCATATACAAACTAATGAAGGTAACTTTTAAACAACTTAAAGCTGCTGAACTCCATCAAGAACTCGGACGAAGCTGTGGGCTGTCAACCCCCGGGGCGCCTGCAGCGACGTGGGCTATTTCTCCTGTCTGACTTCAGCTGTAAGATGACACTGTCCTTTTGCACTAGCACATGAAGACTAGCTAATCAAAATACTGTGCTGACTCACTCAAGAGGTATCTACTGAGCTTCTACTACATACAAGGCATCATGGAAGCCCATCGTGCAATGTTATATAAAGATTTTAAAAATAGATCGTTACAGATAAACATGGTGATTATGTAAAATGACTGGAATAGTTTTGCCTGGATGAACTAAGGAGGGCATTTGCTTCTACCCTGTTGGGTGGACTGATCTTTTTATTCCCGCCCTCATTCCTTCCTTCCAAATCCATCCGATTACTTCCGTGTTGGGTCTGCTTGGTTTCTAACGGTATGGCGAGTTGCTGTGTAGAGTGTAGTCTGCACAGAGATCCCCAACAAAAGGGCAAATGAGGTCAAAGTTCACTCTGCGCTGGACAGGCCAAGCTGCATGACCTGGTCTGGCTAGTTTTATGTCAACTGGACACAGCTAGAACCACCTGAAGGGAGGGAACCTCAATAGAGAAAATGTCTCCATGAAATTCTTCTGTAAGACATTTTCTTAACTGGTGATTGATGTGGTAGGGCCCAGTCTAAGGTGCGTGGTGCCATCCCTGGGCTGCTGGTCCTGGGTCCTATAAAAAGGGAGGCTAATAGCCTGGCCGTAGTGGTATACACTTAATTCCAACACTTGGGAGGAGCAGAGGTAGGTAAATCTTTGAGCTTGAGGCCATCCTGATCTACAGAGAGTTCCAGGACAGCCAGAGCTACACAGAGAAACCCTGTCTTGAAAAGAAAACAAAAAAGAAAGGAAAAGAGGAAGGAAGAAAGGAAAGAAGAAAGGAAGGAACAAATCATGAAAAGCAAGCCAGTAAGCAGCACCCCTCCATGGCCTCTGCGTCAGCTCCTGTCACCAGGTTCCTTCCTTCCCTATTTGAGTTCCTGTCCTGACTTCCTTCAGTGATGGACTATGACGTGGAAAGGTAAGTCAAACAAATTCTTTCCTCCTTAAGTTGCTTTCAGTCATGGCCTTTCATCAAGGTAGTAATAAACCTAACTAAGACATTTGGAGGGTCTTGACCACAGCTGTCCTATATGGGTTAGTGGTGGCTCTACTTGTTCACAAGACAGACACTGAAAAACTGGGCAAAATTTTGTGCTTTTAATCAAACAAGATCTACAACAAACTTTTGGTGGCGTATACAGACAGCTTCTCTTTCTACATGAGACGCTACCCATATATGTACAGCATTTTCCCTCAGTACTGCCAGCTGTGGGAAGAAGAGGGGAACTCGACAAAGGAGGCCACAACGAAAGTCTCAAGATGTTCCCTTGATACAGGGCACCTACACTCTTTCTGGAAACCTTATACCCAGGGCACCTAGGAACCCTAGGGTCCCAGCTCATTTAACCCACTGACAGGCATCACCATTTCCCCTCGATAGAATTTGACCTCCATGCTGAGGGGCAAAGATGGAGGCACCAGAAACCTCAGGCTTCCTAAGCAAAGCCTGTTAGATACAGAGTGACTCTTGTCTACATATGCTCTTCATAATGTTGCTTTGACAATCTTCCTACTCTTCTCCTGGAAACAGAGCAGGCTTTAGTGACTTTCCTGGCCAACTAAAGAATATGGCAAAAGTGACACCAGCTAGGGGAGTTCGCTACCACCTACAGAATCCGATCGCTCCAAGGCCACCATGTTGTGAGGAAGCTCACACTTAACCACACAGAGAGCCAGTGTAGAGTCACTGTCACGCCCCGAAGGGGGTGACACTTGGCTTGGCTTGAAGACAGACACCGTATGTTGTGCTCACAGCTTCCCTAAGTTCTTCACTGTTTTACTTCCAGCCTCCGATTGTCTACAGTTCCACGAAAGGATAGAAGCCAGCATTGCCTACCCAAGTCCTACCCAATCCCTGACCTACAGAAGCCATGAACGATCCTGAAATGATTGCTGCTTTAAGCAACTAGGTTTGAGGATCTGTTACATAGCCTATGGGTTTGGGCGTCATTACAAGCTAGAAGGACTGTGAAGAAAGGGAGCCCAAAGTGAAGGGGGAGATGCGGAGACTTACACAGAGGTTAAGGTTAAATGTGGGCAAGCTTCTGAGGAGAGGTGCTTTGGAAGGGCCTACGGAGGTCGTCATCTAAGGATGGCAGGGCTGCCAAGTGAGTAGGGGAGACTCAGATTTTGGAGACAGACAACCAGAGATCCTTTCTGGCTTTGCTGTCCACTGTTTGTGGCTTGAGACACACTCCTCCCAAAAGAACATTCTGTGAATTAATATACTGTTATGAAAAAATAGGAGATAAAAGAATATGTCCCTGGGCCGGCCTGTCTGGGGTCAGCGGACCCCTCTCTGTGATTTACTTGTTCTCACGGGAACCCTCCGGCTAGATGATGAGCTGCCCTGTGGACACTAGTCCCTGACCCATTTGGCGTTCCACTCTTGGCAGCAAAGTGAGCACATTGGCATTTGACATTCCTTCTTATGCATCCATCTGATTCCCTCATGGCTACATTTGACCTGCCCAGATGAGAACAAAGCTTCAGACTGGGAGGATCAGAATAGGACGACCTCGTGGAACCCTGCCAGAAAAACGACCAACTGATGACACAAAGCAAAACCACTCTTCTCTCCATCCAAAAACAGCGAGAAGAGGAAAAGGGCGGCAGTTCCTCAGACATAAGGGAGGGGTCGGAATATGGAAATTGTTGGAACAAGAGGTTAAGAAGGGCATAGAGAAACCTGCCACCATACTGCTTTTATTTTGTTGTTATTGTTTTTACAGGATCACATGTATCGCAATCTGCTCTCAAATTCCCTATGTAGCTGAGGAACTTTGAACCCCTGCTCCTTCTCCCTCCATCTCCCAGGTGTTGGGATTACAGGCATGTGTTGTCACGCCCAGTTTTATGCTGGCCTGGGAACTGAACCTTCTGAATGCTAGCCCAGCAGTCTAGCAACTGAGCAACATGCCCAGCCCCCACACTGCTCCTTCAGACTGCTTTCCTTCTTACCTGCTCCGTTTGCCATTTTTCTGGACAAACCTTGGTCTGTACGCGCTAAAAAAGAAAACAGATAATAAACGTAGCGGAGTCTAAAACAAAACCAGTCAAACAGGTTCTTCATGCAGCGCTCTTGATCTGAAATATTCAGCAAAGACAACTCAGAGCCTAAGCCTGACTGAAGGAGGGAAGTTCTCTGTCACACCTAGATGGTGGTGCCACCTTGTTGGTAGACCTTGGCTACTGAACATTTGTAATCAGTAAACATGAACTAATTAAATCACAAGTCTAAGAGTATTAAGAAACAATATAATTTTAAACCATTTACAAAAAAAATCTGAAGTTTTAGTTTTTGTTGGTGTGTGTGTGTGTGTGTGTGTGTGTGTGTGTGTGTGTTTGCAGTGCTGAAGATTGACCCCAGGCCCTCACACTTGCTAAGCAAGCTCTCTACCACTGGGTTACACCCTCAGCCCCCAAAAGTTCAATTCTAATTTCTGTCTTTTCTGTTCTAATTCAGTCTCCAACACCAGAGGGGGGGGTAGCGGGCTGGGGGCTTGTGGGGGGAGGGGACAATGGGACGGGATGGGGATGACACAACAGGGGGGACTCTTTTTGAGACATAAACATACTATCATATTTATAAGAATATTTTTGGGACTGGTGAGATGGCTCAGTGGTTGGGAGCACTGGCTGCTCTTCCAGAGGTCCTGAGTCCGATTCCCAGCACTCACATGGCGGCTCACAACTGTCCGCAACTCCAGTTCCAGGGGATCTGACACTTTCATACCAATGCACATAAAATAAATTTAATAATAAATTATTAAAAAAAGAATATTTTTACATTTATTTATGTGGCAGATTTTGTGCCATGGCACTCATGCAGAGGTCAGAGGACAACTTTCAGGAGTGGTTTTCTCTCTTTCAGCTTGTGAGTCCTGACCACTGATTTCAGGGCCTCAGGCTAGGTGGCAGGCATCTTTGTCCACTGAGCCATCCCCAACCAAATGCCATTATTTTCACATTCAAATATTACAAGTGACTGGAGTTCTCTGTAGTTCCACTGGAGGAGATAATATGTCTGGTAATTACTGGTTTTGTTTTGTTAAGGGCTTTTGGTTTTGGTTTTGCTTGTTTTAGGTAGTTTCACTGTGTAGCTTAAGCTAGCCCCAAACTTAAAATCCATCTGCCTCAGTTTCCTAGTATTGGGCTTATAGGAGTCCCATCACATTCAGCTTTATAAATTATTGTTCTAATTTGCCACAGAAGCAATAAAAAGTGAAGTCATTGCCATAGCTAGACACATTTCCAATATTCCAAGCTCTCTGGCAGAGCCGCCTTGAACACGGTGCTTCTGTTTCCTCTTGGGCCATGATATGTGTTTAATGACTAGTCCATTCTCAGGCTGTTTAGAAACTTGCTGGCTGTTCTCATGGGTTGGTCCAACCCTAGATTCACAGTCAAAGCCATGATAGTCAAGGTTCTTACATGACAAACATTCTCAGGAGAGAAGATGAACAAGAAAGGCTGTCTTGTGGTGGAATGGGGGATCCTCACATGGTGTCAAGTGGAGGCTGGATGCTCACATCTGTGGCATTATAGGAAGACGTTTCCTGCTACAGTGAGGAAGTTCCTTGCATCTCTGAGACTCTGTAATCTACTTGTAAATCATCATGGAGACATAGAATGTTGGGAAATATTGGGTCGTGAGACAGAGCGTATTCAACGTCGACGGTGACAGAGGAGTCAGTCCATAAAGAGCCTGAAAGTTGACAGCTCTTCAGGAGCCAAAGAACAAAGAAAAATTGGTAGCTCCTGCCTTGTTGTCACAAATGCTCAATTCTCTAAATCCCCATTGTGTCAGGAATATGGCCAAGGCTTCCAACAATAGATGTGTTGAGGTCTGAGAGCAGAGATCCTGGCTCCTAGGAGGGAGAACCACACTCATTGACTGGTGTGGGATGGTAGTCAGCTTCTTTTTGCTCTGAAAGGAAGAGAGGTTTTTAATCATTTACATGTGTTTTTCCTCACAGCTCAAAACTTACACAATATTCTGCAAAACCTAGAAGCAACCACTGACAGTTTTAGCCTTTCTCAAGATTCTCTTAGAACTTAACAAATTTTAACTCAAAATTTTAACCCCAAATGTACAAACTCCAGAAGATAAAAAAGCAGGAGCTTTCTTCTTGAGATGAATGTATTAATTGGTTTAGGATTCAGATTGTACTCTATTTATAATGAAACATTACTCATCCGCCAGCTATCTTAGTTGGTTTTCTAGCAAATAGATGTTGTAGAATATTATTTTAAGGTGTGTTACATTTGTTTATGCTGTGGAACATTTGTTTAATGATGCAAAGATGTGTTGCATTCTTTATGTTGTATTGTTCAACTCTGTGAAGCTGTGTTACTTTGTCTGTCTAAAAGACTTGATTGGTCTAATAAAGAGCTGAACAACCAGTAGTTAGGCAGGAGAAAGGATAGGCAGGACTGACAGGCAGAGAGAATAAATAGAAGGAGAAATTTGGGAGGAAAAGATCAAGAAATGAAAAAGAGGAGGGGAGGAAGACTCCAGGAGCCAGCCACCCAGCTACACAGCAAGTCATGAAGAAAGAAGTAAAGAAAGAAATACAGAAATAGAGAAATGTAAAAGCCCAGAGGCAAAAGGTAGACTGGATAAGTTAAGAAAAGCTGTCTAGAAACAAGCCAAGCTAAGGCTGGGGGCATTCATAAGAAAAAATAAGCCTCTGCGTGTGATTTATTTGAGAGCTGTGTGGTAGGCCTCCAAGGGTCCTACAAGTACCTAGTCCACACACGTACAGTATCCCTTGGATTGGGCTCAAGTCCATGGCTGTCAAGAAAAGGCAAGTTCCTGCCCACATGGCTTCTGAGCCTTCTCCTGGTGCCACTGATATTTGCTGTGATCAGCTTGAGTAACTAGTAAATCAGACACAGAAAATGACCTTTCAAGACTATGCCATCAGCTCTGTGACCTGGGGCCGCCCTGTCTTTTCCATTGCTGTTTCCCACGAGCCAGATTGGAGCTGAAAACACACCAGACATTTAGCGCACGTCTAAGGAATGGGTTTGTCGTCTGTGCCATCAAAAGCTTGTCTCCTGCTTCTCCTTCCCCGTCCTTATCTCAAGCCCTGTTTTCCAAAGGCATCTACTTGTAAATGTTTCATGTCTGAGAAGTGAAGTTTGAAGGAGGAGGACTTTCTTCTCATTCAGATAGAAGAATGGTTGTGAAAAGTGGGACAATTAACAGATACTTTCTCCATCGAGGGGGAAATTGTACCAGGCCTTCCGGCGATCCCAACATGAGGGTCGAGCGGCTTCTAAATGGAACGGACATGGCAGACACAGTCTTGGGAGCTGCAGCAAGGGGACCGCAAGGAGCCCCCTAGAGCCCTTCATGCCACTCACCTTGAGACCTTCTTCTCCAGATCAGAACGCCAACTCCAGCCAGGACAATGGTGAGGATTATGGTCCCAGAGACCGTGTTCACTACTAGAAGGAGGATTTCTGATTCTGTAAGCAAATGAGAAAAACCTCCAAGATGCTTCTCCTGTCTGCATTAACTGCATCACTGTGATCACCAGGAAGCTCTGCCATCATCTCTGCTCCCTCATCGCCTGGTGACAAGTGGACTATGTGCCTATGCTATCTTCTATTTATTTACTTATTTAGTCCCAAGTCAGGGTTTCTACGTGTAGTCCCTGGAACACTCTCTATAGACCAGGCTGGGCTCAAACTCAGAGATTCACCTGCCTCTGACTCCTGAGACAGAGAGAGTGAGAAAGAGAGAGAATAAAAATAAAAACTTTAATAGTCATTCAAAGAAAAAACTGTTGCTATTGTTCCGCCCACCTGCTGAGGCAGAGACCCATTCTCCCTTCCTGGCAGGCATCACAGCTTCTTATCTCTTTCCTCAGACTTACTCCCCAGACAGTCATCGCCCCCACACTTACCCTGAGGAGCCTCAAAAACCATTTGGAGGCCACAGTGCTCCACATGACAAAAATAAACGTCTTTGCTCTGAGGATTCAGATCAACCGACACCCACGTTTGATAGGTTCCATCTCCACTGGGAAGCACGCCTCCATGATCCACTTCTTGGGCAATTTCTTCCCCATTTTTCATTCACGTCATGAAAATTTCTGGTGGGTAGAAGCCATGAGCTCGGCAGAAGAGAGTTGTAATCCCCGGAAACGTTTCCTTTCGACTTGTTCTTACCACCGGAGGTTCTAGAGAGAAGCAGCCACAGGAAAGTGAGGTGGGGGATCTTGGGCACTGAACATACAGTATTCAAACAGAGCCACGTTCTCCTGTTAACTTTCTTTGCAGCAAGAAATATCTCAGACTGAGAATGAACCAGAGCCCAGATTCATCAACAGCAAATATGTATTTTGTAGACTTCCTTTTATGGAATAGGCTGGGGAACACACGGAGGTGAACCTCGTTTTGTCCCTGAGGGGAGAAAGGGCGCATAGCTTCAAGTGTTTGGAGAGAGTATCAGAGCTGCCAACTGTGCACCTTTGAAATAACCTTGTGTGACAAGGAAATGATGTGGGAGTGTCAAATATCAATCTGTTGATTTCATTGGCTAAGTAATAAACAAACTGCTTGGGCTCATAGCTTAGAACATAGGTGGGTGGAGTAAACAGAACAGAATGCTGGGAGGAAGAGGAAGTGAGCTCAGAGACGCCATCCTCTCCTCTCCTGGGCAGACACATGCGATGAAGCTCCGACCCAGGATGGATGTAGGCTAGAATCTTCCTGGTAAGCGCACCCAGCTGTGCTACACAGATTATAAGAAATGGGCTAGTCCAGGTGCAAGAGTTAGCCTAGAAGAGGCTAGATAGAAATGGGCCAAGCAGTGTTTAAATGAATATAGTTTCCGTGTAATTATTTCGGGTAAAGCTAGCCGTGGGGGCAGCCGGATGCCGGGGACGCAGCCTGCCGCTTTTATTACTACAACAGATGGCGCCCAGATGTGATGGACTAAATCCACTTAAAAACCTGAGAAGGCTTAAAAATAAGGAAGAGAGAGTTTAACACAGATTTTTGCTGTTTGTTGGTGGCATGCTGTAGAGAGATTTCCTGATTCGGCAACAGCAGCATAAAAAACGCTGCGTCATTTTAAAGCGCGGCTTCCTGGGGCTGTGCTGCCAGCGTGAACTCTGGCTTTAAAACATGTCAAAGGCTTTTTAGGGGACTGGATATTTCTGTTCCCGCTTGGGATCGAAAGGAGAGTGCTCTGAGACCCCAGCGGATGGATGGCTCAGCACTCCCCGCCTGCACCTGGGCAACTGGCCGAATCAGGCTTAGGCAGGCGGAAGAGCATGGCGGATTCTGGCTCTGTGTGTCAGATTTGGCTGTAACTTGGATAAAACGAATTTCTGTGCTGCACGCTCAGTCTCAGAATTAAAGTGCTGAGTGTTTCTCCTACCTGGCGGCCCCAGAGCTAGCACAAAATAGTACGTCCTCCATTTTGAAATTTTCCTGACTCAGCAGCAGGAAAAAACTGGCTGTTTTAAAATGCTGGCTTTCTGGGCTGTGCCGCCATTGCAATCTCTGTCTGGCTCCTGCGTGAGACAGAGCTTTTGAATGGAGCATTTGGAGTAAAGTGCTACGATTTGTTTGATGGCAACTAGACTGCTGTGTGCCTAAAAGGGGGACATTGCATACCGCAGCTCAGAGGCACAAGCAGCTCCGCCATGCTAGTGGTGCAATGTGCAAGGATCAGAGGCATGAGCAGCTCCGTCATGTTGGACTGGGCGGGGCCAGCAGGCAGTACCTGTTTTTGACCTAGGAATGTCACAGCTTAGATTCTTAAGCTCCTAGTGATTTAAAGGCACAAATCAAAAGTGCTCCTGGATAGTAAAAAATTGCAAATTCACAATAGGACAGATTCAGACCACTAAATGAGTCACACTGTTGGATGAATGTACGTAGGCTTGAGAGAGAGAAGAAAAAAATATAGAGAATAAAGTTAATGGGTTTTTTTTAAGAAAAAGGTAAAGTCTTTAAAGAGACAGAGTACAGATAGTTAAGAGATTAAAAGAAATAAAGAAAAATAAGCCACGTAAAAATGGAAAATTCACAGAGAGTCTGGATTATGTACATTGTGTTTTCTTTAAAATTTTTTACTGTGAAGGAGCTAAGTACAGAGAGACATTTCATTATATGGGCTGCCAAGTGGAACCAAAACAGATATCATGAGGGTATGACTTCGGAATTTGGGTCTAAGGATATGATGCTTTGGAAAGGGTCTTCTTTTGTTTTCACAGAGGATCAGACCCTGTGGATTGCATCTATCCCGATATGGTATGATAGACCACCACCTCCCGAAAAGTTCTTGTGAACACCCTCAAAAAATTACTTCACTCAACTGCCAACTGAGATAAACCTGGCACACAGGTTACACCCTAAATGATCTGATTAACAGTGCCCCCATTCAGCAGGAAGCAGTTTGGAGAGAAAAAACTGCACCCATGTTCCCAAAATATTTTTTATAAATGTTCTTTTACATTTAAAGGGGGAAATGATATAGGTATGAATAATTTGCATTGGTATGGATTTAAGGTCAATTTTGTTATATGTATATGTATTTCTTGATCTTGATTAAGGTATTGTGATTGTGTAGTTCATTTAAAAATGTACTGTATAATTAAGAAATATAGGTTAATATATGGATAATCATCAATAAGTCAAGCTTATAGTCATGTTAGTTAGATTTTCTAGATATATAGAGATATATTTCAGATAGGCATTCTTCATCTCTCTCAAAGGCTGCAGAATATGGCATTTAAAATATTTTAATAACTTAGAACTTTTCATGACAATGAGACATGTCTGTTCCTGGCGGCACCAATCTACTTCGAGAGGAAGATGGGCATCGAAGAGGATCCTTATGGAGTTTGATAGCCATTTGGGCAAGAAACTGCTCTTGCCTGGACTATTGCATAAACTGGACACAAAGAACCCGCAGAGAGAGGACTGCTGAACTTGCCTAAAGGTGAGATGGTCTTTCGGGGTTCCTGACTCATGAAAGAGTCCGTGAGACATTCTGCAGGATACAGCAGAAAGTGACTGAACTGTCTTTGGAATTTCCTTCTTGATGAAATGTCTGCTGGATACTATGGGCCTGAAGGCTGAAGATGGATGCCCCAACGGTACAAAAGAACTTTGGGTGACTGTCCAGGCAGCGAGATGTTTCTGTCATTTCTAGAGTTTTCTTACTTCTTACTTACTTAGGTAGTATTATATCCTTCTGGAGTATTTGATGGAGTTGAAGAATGAATAGATAGTTATAGTTTTCCTTAGTTATGATAAAAGATAAAATAGATATAAATATTGTAACTGTAATTCTTGCCTGATAACTGTTTTGCTGTATGTAATTTTGCTATGTTAAAGTTAAAGCCTTCCTTTTTTTGTTTAAACAGAAAAAGGGGAAGTGATGGGGGAGTGTCATATATCAATCTGTTGATTTCATTGGTTAAGCAATAAAGAAACTGCTTGGCCCTCATAGGTTAAAACATAGGTGGGTGGAGTAAACAGAACAGAATGCTGGGAGAAAGAATCTGAGTCAGTGAGTCGCCATGATTCTCCCACTCCAGGCAGACGCAGGTTAAGATCATTCCTGGTAAGCCAGCTCGTGGGCTATACAGATTATAAGAAATGGGCTAGTCCAGGTGCGAGAGTTAGCCGAGAAGAGGCTAGATAGAAATGGGCCAAGTAGTGTTTAAAAGAATACAGTTTCTGTGTAATTATTTCGGGTAAAGCTAGCCATGCGGGTGGCCGGGTGCCGGGGACGCAGCCCCGCCGCTCTTATTACAACAGAGTGGCGCCCATAATTACAACAAGGTGGGGTCTAGCTAAAGGAAGTAGGTCCCTGTGGGGAATCCCTGAGGGCTGTATGTGGTGATATTTTGTGCTGGAACAAATAAAGCTTGCCTGAAGATCAGAGAGAGCGGGGCTAGCCACACTAGTTCGCCATAGAGGCCAAGCAGTGGTGGCACACACCTTTAATTGCAGCACTCAGGAGACAAGACACTGTGAGTTCAAGGCCATTTGGGCTATACAAGATTGAACCAGTCTAAAAGAGAAACAGAGCTCACACAAAGGTGATCTCAACACTAGGGAGGTGGAGACAGGAGTGATAGACTGGGCAGAGAGAGGAATATAAGTTGGGAGGAGACAGGAGCTCTGAGCAATTTAGTCTGAGGACTTGTAGACACAGGATACTCCATTCGGTCTGAGGATTGGCTAGTTGCTCTGCTTCTCTGATCTTTCAGCTTTCACCCCCACTCTTGGTTTTTATTATTAAGACCACTTAGAATTTGCACTACAGCTGTATCTTGCCTTGGCTCTTCTCCCTTCTGCTTCCTGTCCACTCTGATGTAAACTGCTTTGCTACACCCTTCCCATCAGGATGGACCCAAACCTCTGAAATTGTGAACAACCTTTCCTACTTTTTTAAAAAGTTTTTTTCCTACTTTTAAGTTATTTGTCAAACCGATATAGCTATGTGGCAGACATCCTCACATCAGAAAGCAAACTATTTCTCCTTTTCCTATCTGATAAGACTCAGCCTAAAACATCTTAGTGGTTAAGGGTGGCCAAGACTGGCCAAATCTAGGCTATCAGACATTTCAGTCAGGCGACAGTAATATTTAATATGTGAGCAGAGTCAAAAGCTTAGCATGTGTTTTCATCCATATTATTCTCACTAACTTCTTTAAAGTAGGCACTATTACCCTATTTTACTCAAAACTGTGACTTAGCTGGCCTACCTTCTAGAAGCTTCACTTGTTCCTGACAGGAGAGATTCCTCCTGCCAAATAACAGCACGTTTGGGGACATAAATGCACCCCTCTATAACATGGGCTCAGATGAAGTGTTCATCTTAATTCCTCTTCGACCATCACTCAAACAGCGTGCAACAGCCAGGGTCTCTTTGTGGTCCCCGGATGTAGCCTCTGACCCTCTGTGGTCTGCCTAGGCCTTCGCACTCTCTCTGGAACTGTTCTGCCCCTAGTTTCCAGCTGGACTGCCTCAGGCAGAGAGCAGCAGCTGAGGAAGTACCTATCTCACCACGCTGCAGTCCTGCCTGTGGCCACACCTTTCACCTTAAGGATCCCCTTTCAACAAACCAACTCTTGCTGGGCTCTGCTAGCGATGTCTCCTCTTCCTGCCCTTCAGATCGTACTGGGGCAATGGTGTCTCATACTTCACCTCTCCAGAATCTTCACCACCCCTTGTTGGGATCCCCACTAGACCCCTTGTGAAGGATCCCTGGTTGAATCTCCTCAATTAGACCATGCTGGCTGTGCCATTGGTCATTGCCAGAACTTTGTTGCCCAGTACGAATCTTTGAAGCTTTTTCCGATGGTCACAGTGATTAGGTAAAGAGGTCACAAATGATCCAACTCAGGCCAGTCACAGTTCTCTTGAGATTTATTTATTTAGGTAACAAGTACTCAGAGACAGTAGCCTGTCTTGCAGAATGGAGAAGCCATGAAGATGTGACATTTGTGCTGGTCCCTTCATCCCCTGCCTCCACCCCTCCCCTGGAGAAAAGTTTTCAAATATGGTTTTGGTTTCTTAGGTCTCCATACTATTCTGATTCCTGTTTTCTAATAGGATCTGCTTGAGTCTGTTAGAAGCAGATTTGTTAACTGCAACCATTGAGCATAGCTTTGATAGTTATTCTGCAAGTAGGGAGGAGAGCCACCTTGAGGCTCTAATCATTTGCCTTCAAAGCCTGCATTTGGACACACAGCACATGCTTACAACTATGGTCCAGACCCCTCCTCTCCACCCCGGGCTTGTCCCAGCTCTGCAAAGTCCCTCCGGTTAGACATTACTCTTCCGGGAAAGGTCAACAGTGTTCAGGGATTTCTGGAAATATTTGAATCATCCCATAGAACACGAAACATTCTGCGTTCTGTTGAAGTTGACCAAAAGGCTCGTGTATTGACAGCAGGAGACAAGCTGTGTACCCAGAAGAATCGTCCTGTTAACTCCGAGTTTCTTGGGAAGCCAGTCTTCCTAAGCCCTTCCTCATAGGCCAGCTTTTAACTCTCACCCAGTGAACCCTGCTTCTTAAATAATTTGTAACAACTGTCCCACTCTCAAAAGTTTTCCCAGCCGGGCGGTGGTGGCGCACGCCTTTAATCCCAGCACTCGGGAGGCAGAGGCAGGCGGATCTCTGTGAGTTCGAGGCCAGCCTGGTCTACAAGAGCTAGTTCCAGGACAGGAACCAAAAGCTACGGAGAAACCCTGTCTCGAAAAATCAAAAAAAAAAAAAAAAAAGTTTTCCCAACCTCTCCCTGGCAGGAGACGGAGGACTTTTTTTGATAGAGGTGCCCTTGGAGGCACCACATTCTGTCAAGACAAGTGGAACTGCGAAGGCTTGTCAAGATGCTGCTAAAAATACCACCTAATGAGAATTCTCTTAGGGGTTTATAGGTCAGAACAGTCCAACCAAGAGACGGATTTCAGCACAGAGTAAATAGCACCTGCAGAAGAGGAAGTTAGACACAAAGCCAGTTTTTCTAGGGATGTGAGAGCAAGGTTCTCTCTCCTCCTTACCTGTCCTTTCTAGGGTATCTTTTCCGTACTCCAAGAACCTCTTGAGCCAGGCAATGCATTCCTTTTCCACCCAGTTCTTTTGGTATTGCAACTCATGCAGGTTGGCCTCCCATGTCCGCTTGGTGATTTGAGCTACATTATCTACAGCCACCCAGGAGAGGGTGTCTTTATTGAAGACGATGAATTGTCCGTCATCTTCCAGCAACTCACAGCCAATCATTCTCTGGTAAGTGTGAAGCCCTGAAACACACACAATCTGCGGAATCACGGGTGAAAGCAGAGACGGGGGGGGGTGGGGGGGGGCTTCTTGGATGATGCAACTGGAGCATGGTCGGAAGCACTCTTTGCTCCGGAAGACACCACCTCACAGGCCTGTATATTTAGGTTCCAGAAGGTTCCTGTTTTGCAGACCCACATACTAACAGACATTGATGGGGTACTTACTGCATGCCAAAGGGTCACGATGATGCCTGCCTTGGGGAATTAGCCTATCTTTGGAATGATTCATTGATAAATCTCCCAGCTATTCTGAGTGCAGTGTAGGAGCGAGAGATACACGCAGGAGCCAGAAATATCTCTGGGACAATTCATATAGTACGTTTCTGTTCAGAAATAAGCAAATCAGGAAGCCCAACCATGAGAAAATAAGACCCAAAATGGGCAAATTTAGAATGAGAAGAGAGAAAATTGTTGGATGCCAATGGGATAGGAATATGGGGACAAGGGATAAAAGATTTTCATAAAGGGATAGTATAGAAGAGCCACAGGAAGGTGGTGGGCACTGAAACCCAGCCACCTGATTTTCTGGGTTTTGCCAGAGACTACAGAGGGTGTGAGCAACTGGTCACATTGGCCTGAGGCAGCCCGGGGCCTTACTCGCAGGAAGTAGACAGTGTTGTAGACAGTAGTCTGTTGCCATCACACCTGAGTGGTTGTAGTGCCTCTGTAGGCCCTTCAGTTCCTCCTTGAATGTCTGCTGCCAGCTCCTCAGCAGCTGAGTGTACCTCTCCCAGTGATCAGGTGCCAGGTTCTCCGCCATCAATGGAGCCCTTGGCTCCTTCTGCTGGGTGACACTGTTGTATGTAGTGATAGGGTGTGAGTCCACGTACCCAACAGAGATAACTCAGGGACTCCAGGGCCAGGGTGTGAAACAGCCAGACGAAAATATCTCAGAAAGTGAGTCCCTAAGGAGAAAGCAAAGAGAGTGTGAGAGTCACAGATGACAGAATATATTAACTGCATTCCACTGACACCCCATACCAGCGTCCTGGCCCCATACTCAATGCATCCATCCCACTATTTTCTCCAACACCATTATCGAATCCCTAGGAATTACGACTGGAAAAGACTTCAGCCCTGTGACCAAGAATGAAATTTTACAGGTAACCTCAACTTGTAAGCAATATACAGTGTGATGCTCTGGTCTTGGGTGAAGGCCCAAAGACCATTCACTGGACTGGGGCTAAATGGGTAATGCCTGAAGAAGCCTTCAGAACCTCTGAGGGAGAGAAGACCCTGACAACCCAACTCACTTGCACTACCAATAAAGCCTCTGGGTTGATAACTGAGGGCTCTCAACCTACCCCCTTATCTCTACACACACAGGGCTGCACACCCCTCCTCCTGGATTAGACGGCGCTAGAACAGCTAAGGAGAGTCAGGCCTCCTGGGGAAAACACTTTCAAAAGCGCTTTTTTCTTGCCTTACTGAACCACTCCTCTTATCTCCTTTCTTATTATTTTTCAACTTTTTCTTTTGTCTAAATACCAATATGAAAATTGTGATCATCACTAAGGATTAAAAGTAAATCTAAATGAAATAATCCTCCCCTGAACCGACCCTGAACCCCTCAGGTTGTCCAAGAATTTCAGGGCATGGTGGAGACAAACAAGAAGGTCTCAAAGTAGGACGATAGGGGCTATCATGTCAGTGTGGGCTCTCGGGGACGTCTTGACAGAGAAGGTGACATCTCAGAGGAGATTTCAGGGTTAACAAGAGGTGAACAATATAGGGCAGTGGGAGTTGCTTGCATACATGCTGGCCAAGGACACCACAGCCGTCTCCTCATGCTCCCTGGGATCCGTCTGGTACCTCTACAGGTACAAGTCATGCCTGGCCCTTAGCTGGGCTTCTAAAATGACACTTCTCTATATAGGAATGTCTGCTGACAGATGTGAAGTTAGTAATTTAGAACAGGGAAAATGAGGAAAAGGTCATGCTACGCTCTCCTTCATAGCATGTCAGGCCTGTGACAATTTCTGTCTTACCTGAATATGTTGCTCAGAGGATCAAAGATATAACTATTAAGGTTGAGTCATTTGGAAAAACTAATGTTGTTCTACACAAATGTCAATTCCGCACCGTTTGCTCTGACCCCTTCCTTGCTCCAATAATTATGAAATCAGGTTTGGTTCTTCCCTTTCCATGAATCACCCACCATTAGTCACTGAGCTGAAATCTATGATCTAGAATTTGGCCTTTGTCTAGCTGGGCCAGTCAAACTGCTTCTCAAGGGGCACTTGCTGCTTACTCGCTTCTGCTAGGCCTTGCTGGAGATCCCAAACGTGCAAGCAGCTCTGACACCAACACGCTGACTACTTTACCGTCCTGAGTTTTGTCCCTTTAACTTGGCACAGTAGCAGTTGGGCCATTTTGACAAACCTCTAAGGAACGTTACTGGATTGCAAAGCAATTGAACATGTGTTTTCAGGCATTCATCCACGGAGATTTGCGTTTATGGGATATCTACCATGGACAAGATACAGGGCAAATTCAGAAAGAGGCACGTGAACCAGATACCAAACTTCCCTCCAGGAATTAACAGCATAACTGGGAAGAGACAAGTATACAACACAAACAAACACAAGGATCGAAAGAGGGGCACCGACGCACGCCTTTAATCCCAGCACTGGGAGGCAGAGGCAAGCGGACCTCTGCGTTCTAGGCCAACCTGGTCTACAGAGTGAGTTCCAGCACAGCCAGGGCTACACAGAGAAACCCTATCTCATAAAAAACAACACAAAACAAAAAAAAAATCAAACAAACAAAAATAGAAATCTCCAAAGATCAGCTTCAATGAGTCTTAAAGGGCAGCAGACACCTCCATCATAACTATTAGAATTGAATTTATTTATTAAGTGAGTACCATGTGTTTGGTACCATACTAATGAGAAACATGGGTTTCATTAATTCCTCACAATAATAAAACAAAACATAACATGGTCTCACGTACCCCAGGCTAGCTTCAAACTTTCTATGTAGTCAAGAATCACCTTGAACTTCTGATTCTCCTGCCTCTGTTTCCCAAGTGCTGGGGTCACAGACATGCATCTCCAAATCTGGCTTTATGTGGCACTGGGGAACCTAGGACTTTGCACAAGTTAGGCAAGTATCTGTCTACAGGGCTACCTATCCAGTCCTCCCAATAGTCCTTCAAGGTAGGTCCCTTAGTTCCCATTTCACAGATGAAAAGTGCAGAGAGATTAAGTACATTGCTCAAAGTTACCTAAATTAAGTAAGGACAGCCTTAGAAGCCATGATGAGAGAACCAGGAATCAAAATCTGATCTCATATAGGGAGCTTCTCTACCTATGACTACCCAACCCTGATTAAGAGAGAGGCGCTTCCCCAGTACAAGATGTTACAGCCTTCTAGACCCTAGAGTATCAGTGCTCTCTCCTGCCCCCTTGTGTCAAGCATGCTTCAGGCTCTGATTTTCCCAGTCCCTAAGGCCCACATGCCACTTCTTCCTCTGGTTGGATAATCAAGTCAACAAAGACCTTTTTATTGTTGCCTGTTCCGGAAACCTAATGCCTTAGTAAGGAAAAGATGGTTCCTGATAACTACTCTTTGGGATTCCGGGTTTTGTGGGAGCGAGGAGAGAAGTAGATGGTTGTGTTTTTAGTTAAAACAGCCTTTGGACTCTTCTCAAAGCATGTTGCAATGTTGATGGCTCTACATTTAGCAGGAACCATTAGTCCTCTGTCCTAGCAACTGTCACGTAACAGGATCTTATGATGAGCCTAAAAATGATAAATGTGTCAGTCTGGTTTCTTAGCCGCCATCTTAATTACTTGTCTTGTCCTTCTGGAAAATTTTGTGATAGAAACATTAGGGGAAAAGGACTTGTTTTGGCTCATGGTATAAAGGGGTACAGTCCATAATGGTGGGAAGAAGACAAGGTGGCTGGACTCACTCCAGTCTGGGTTTGCCAGATCTTGTGGTATAGTTCCCTCACCTCTCTGAGGGTCAGGAAGTAGAGGGCTCAGGCTAGAAGTGTGCTAGACTATAGCCCTTAAGTCCTAACCATGAGGCCCTACATCTGTTATCTAGGCTCTGTGTCCAAAAGGCTGCACAGCCTCTCGAGAGATGCCATCAGCTGAGCACCTAGTACTTAAATATACAAGTCTGGAAGTGCATTTCACATTCAAACCACAGCATTCCACCCTGGCCCCAGAGGCTCATGGCCATTTCATAATGCAAGATGCATTTTACTACTGCAAAAGCCCCCGAAGTCCTAAGAGTTCCAACACTGATCAAAAAGTCCAAAATCTTGGGGCTGGAGGGATAACTAAGTAGTTAAGAGCATTTGCTGCTCTTCCTGAGGATCCAAGTTTGGTTCCCAGTGTCACAAGACAGCTCAAAACTGTAACTGTAGTTCCAGGAGATTTGATGCCCCTTTTTGGCCCCGCATGAGCACAGCACACATGTGATACATATACATACATGAAGGCAACATTCACTTATAAAATGCAAATAAATACATCTTTTAAGAAAAATCCAGAAATGCAAATAAATACATCTTTTAAGAAAAATTCAAAGTCCAAAGGAATTTTCCCAAGATCAGGCAGTCTTTTAACTGTGAACATCTGTAAAACAAAAAACAAATATACTTTCAAAATATACTGGCACAGAGTAAACATGGCCCTTCCAAAGGGGAGGAACAAAAGTATAGCCAGGGAAAATAGGACCGAAGCAAGGCTAGCCAAGTCAACAAAGTTCATTTGTTGTGTGGTCCAAGCAACTCAATGCCTTAGAAGGCAAATACGGTTGTGATTCCTGGTAGCGAGCTTTGGGGTTTCAGGCATTGTGGGAAGAAGGGACAGAAGTAGTTTTCAGCTCCGTGTCTAGTACCTCGGGGATGTGGCAATGTCATCTGGGTTCCAGTGGGTTTGGGGAGTCCAACCTGTACAGCTCTGCTCCCAGCAGTCTACCTGGTCTCCCTCTTGCCCAGGGTGCTTACAGTTTTCTTTAGCAGATGTAGGACTGTGGGCAGTCCTGCAGCATCTTGGGATCTTCATTGTATCCTAGGCTTCACCCTCACTGATCCATGCAGAGTCCACTCGGGAGCTCCATGCAGGAATCCTACCCTTCTACACGATGCCTTACCTCAGTGGTTTTCTAGACCTCGGTACAAGCCTCTTTAACCTGATAACCAGTGTATTGTGCATGCTTGCAAAGCCAGTACCATGCGGCTGCTGCTGCCAAGTTCTGCCGCCAGCTTGAGATGTCTGTCCTCAACATAGCTCTGGGGGCTTCTGAGCACCTGCATAGCTGACTCTGAGAAACCACTCCCCCAAGTGGTCCCATTTGGATGGGTTAGGTGGAGTCTTTGATGAGTGAGATCTTGCCTTCAAGAAATCTTACCATTTCTATTGGCCTCATACAGAATGTGAGATTTTCCTTTAATTGTATCTTTATTAATTATCCCAGCTCTTTCCACAGTTGCTTTGACGACGACTGAACTCATGTTCCTTTCCTTATCAAACTACACTTTTGAAACATTTCTTTCTAGTTTCTGCTGTCTATCACTGTTCTGTGGCTAAAAGCATGGGACAGTAACCACTATTGTCTGTATGCTGTGCTGGCTAGAAATTTTCTTCACCAAACAAATTGGTATGTTACTTTTTAATTCAGCCTCATTTTGAACATAACAAAATGTCCTCTAGTTCAATTCCTGATTTAAAAAAAAAATCCTTGTTGCCATTTGAAACTCATGAGCAAATATTTCTTGTCTCTCAGATGAGGGAATATTCCTTTATCTCAACATCTGGT